TTTTTGTCTGTTATATATGTTGAAAGCACTAAATAGTGATATATTACTGGGCATCTCTTAACTGTTTTCATACACATAAAGTTGATAGCTTGAAATTGGTCAGGGAGGTAGGAAGGGTATAGTATATGCACCACAAAAATTGGCACATACTACAAATCAAGGCTACTTCCACCACCACCACCACCACCACCAGAGAGCCAGTTTTTAAACATTTACCAGTATATCCCTGACTGTATGGGTCAGACAACCATTATGGGTTACTCTGGTAGAATTAGTTAAATGAGGTGGTCTCCTGTGGCCTTTGGATCCACAACAAAGCAAAAACTAGCAAATCTGCAAAGCCACTATGCATGCATTCAGTGCAGAAGAAAATGGCATTTCTGGTCACCTGTTGGAACTAACCGACTTTGACTCAGGGGACATGATTTCTCACAAGTGTGGGTGTGGGTACAAGGGGCTAAGTGATAGCACCCCTACAGGACTGTCAGAATGAGGCCAGATATCAGATAAACCACAAATGATTTAATTCTTAGTCCCAAAGAGGAGAGTATGTGGGAAGTCCGCACAGCTGTGTCAGGATTTGGAAACCAAGGGTTAACAGTTACCTTTTAGGAACTACCCAAGGATTTCAACCACCTCTAAAAGTGAAACTGCATAGGATTACCTCCACCTGTTCAGCTCTTCCCACGAGGACAGGCCCTGTGGATTTAAATGCTCCGGCTGCTTCTAAATATCTTCACCGGTCCTGTTTTCTGGTGTGGATGGATCAGAGACTTCTGGATGCTCCAGGAGTCTAACACTCCCACGTGCCATCCTTTAAGGGTTGTTTGTTTCCATTCTCGCAACATTCTATGAGCACTGATTGCCCAACACCCTGCTGGGAGCTTCAGGGCTACAAAAATGAGGAGGACACAACCCTGCCCAACTATCCGCAGTACACCATTCACTGGGGTAACCTAATTTATACAGGGCAATGTGAGTTCAGAAAAACATGAGCAACTATGCTGAGGTGGGGGATGGTCAGTTTTAAGGAAAGAAGTCTTGACATACGTTCAAGATCTAACTTAAGGTAGGCGTTCTGATGGAAGTAAGGGGCATCGTGCAAAGTATGGTTTGGAGCACTTTCTTCGGCATTTGATGAGTCTCTGTTCTTGGGAAAATAGGGTTACTGTGCAGCATGATCTGTGAATGCAGTGATGTACCACCCTCACCAGTGTCAGCAGAAATGTCCCAGAAGCCTAAGTGCCCCAAAGCAGCATAGGTTCTAGTTTCTTAAAAAGGAGAAATTGGGAAACTGGACTTGCTCAAACTTTTCCCTATAAAAAAGTTTATTTCCAAAATATCTTCTTCTGGGTGTAATGTCAAATAACTCTCAGTTTTTTGGCAGCTGCAGAGAGGGAGGAAACCCAATTAGGTCTTCAGCCACACCCCAAGCCCACTTTCAGATCTCAGTCCCCTTCAGATGCCAGAAATTTCTTTGAGTAGGTCACAGTAATTTCATGGAACCAAATGTGCTTAAAGCATCCAGGGGTTAAAGAGGCACACACCTCAACATTCATGAGTCCAGTGTCCTGAAAGTCACCAGCTGAGGTGGCTCAGCTGGCCACACTGACCTTGGCAAGCAGTACTCAGCTCTGAAATTAACCTGTCAACTAAATTGAAGGGGAGAAAAGGCAGCATGGCTAGGACACAAACATCCATCCCCCAACCCCAGTCCAATCACTGACGTCAAGCCTGGTGTGGGTGGTATTAATCATGCAAGCTTGGTGTGCAGTTGAGGACAGCTCTCCTTCCAGCCCTTCCAACCCATTCCTGGGACCGTTCCATCAGCCATGCACCTGCCGCTGGCCACAAACCCTCAACTCCCAGACAGGCACGGATGCAGGCTGTTGCTGACGACACTCAAAGCCAGAATGCACCCTTTAGAACCCAGGCTTTGAGGGGGGGGGTGGGGGAGGAGGGAAGAGGGAGAGCAAAACCTTGTGCCTGTGTTTTCTTCCCAGGTGTGCCATTCTCTCAACTCTGGAATGCTTCCTCCACAGGAGCTCTTGCCGTAAGATGGTCATTTCCTGAGGATTTAATGAGAATATAGAATTAATGACCCAAAGCCCTTTTTGCAGCCAGTCATTAATTCCCCTCAGGAAATACCCATGGTCTTTAATCAAAATTGCCTAAATTATAGACTGGTGATGCATGTCCTCACAGGTTTGGGGGCTGGGGTTGAGGGGCTGTCATCCCTACTGGTTCCAATAGATGGCGCCTATCTTCATGCAAATAAATCACTCCTAACTCATTTTCCATTTCCCACCAGCGAAAACCAGAGGTCATTAAAAAAAAAAAAAAAAAAAAAAAAAAAGGCAGGGAGTGGAGAGGACTTAGTAAAGGCCCAGGCAGGAACGTTCTGTCCGAGGTCTGTTCCCAGGCTTGGCACACACCTCAGGCTCAGACTGAGCCACACCAGGGTGCAGCCAGGGACCTCAGCAGCAGTCCTGCCTCCTATGTGTGCAGCCTGGGCAGGGTGACAGCAGTTAAGTAATGAGAAAGGTGGGGTTGAGGGGTAAGAGAGCACCAAGAAGAGCCCTTTTTTCTAACTTTTAGGAAAGGAATGGTATGTTCATAGAAGACTCCCTGAAGCTGATTTAAGTTTCCCCCACTATCCAAAAGCTTGCTTTATACCCCTTCACTTTTACAAAAGTCCTGCATTTCTACTTGGTTTTGCCCAGCAAAAGAAATTTGAGGAAGATTTTCACTTTTAGTAGATGTTAACTGCTTTTTCATTTTATCCCATGTCAGCTTACCGGGAAGTTTCATGGGAACGCACCACTTTAGGATTGCGGGAAGACCTGTACTCTGTAACTTGTTTTTCAAGGCCCCTCCTGTCACTGGCCCAAAACATCAAACTTTTCTATTTCCACATGGAATTATAAATAACGGGGAGCAGAGGGTCTCTTGCAAAACAACATAAGACCCTCAAGGGCTTCTGGCAGAAAGGAGCCCAACCACCAACCATTTCTGAACCAGTTCCCAGTCTGTCTTGAGTCATACAACTATCAAAGAGTATGTATTAGAAGACTACTCTTCTAGGGAAAGGCAAGGCATCTGTATGCGGGACTTGTATCACACACCTCAGCAGCAAACAAACCATGCAGATCTCTCAGACTGCAATCACTGAGACTTGGCACCATGACTCAGATGTGAATGAAGTCAGAAAGATTGCTTTATTTTGCTTGGGAGCCACCGCCTCCTGATTGATTTGGCAGACTTGACTATTTTGATATTTGTCTCACAGGGTTTCAAGATACTTAAAGCAAGAGGTTCAAACGGCTGTAATTCTAGTGGTGGCCCTTCAGCGTGGCTTGAAGATCTCTCAGCTGGAAGGCTAAGGGAGCTCTGGTCCCAGCCATAGCCTCATACATTTTTCTGGCTTTACATTCAATCCAGCAGCACACTGGATAGTGAAGAAAGTCAATGAAATGATGAGTGCCAGGGAGCTGATCTCTACCTCTCAGGATGCTCAGAAAAGCTAAGCAGAGAGTAAAGGATTGGCTTTTACAACCTGATTGAAGAGTGTCTACTCTCTCCAACCCAGGCAAGATCTGTAAAATCAGAACAATGTCTGACAGCTTCAAACAACTAGCTTTGCTGCACAGAGACAGGAAAATGAACAAAAATAGCCTTGGTCTTAAGTTGTATGGGAAGTGTGAGATGGTGTTTCTCCCACTCATCTGCCCCACAGCACAGCACCCTATGATAAAATGGGTTACGCTCCACTTCCCAGAGAAGTTGGGGGAGGACCTACCTTTTAATTTTGCTCCTAAAGGTACTTTGTGAGTTGAAAAGAGCCCTGACCAAAGGTGGGGTTTACTCCTCCACCCTCACTCTGAAGTACTGTTATCGAGTGTGTGCTTACGCATACTTTATTTCAGTTAAACCTCACCACAACGCGGTGAGAGAAGTATCATCAGATTCCAATTTTCATATGGGCCCCCAGAGAGGTTTTATAACCTGTGTCAGTGAGTTGGAACTCTGGGGAATTTTGACCCCAATTTCTTGTTCTACACCACCTTGCTTTCTAATTCACTATGAAATACATTGACTCATTTTTGCTTCGATTCTGCAAATCACACCAATGTTCTCCTGAATTGTTTTTCCCAGAGGCAATGCGGGAGCCAGCTGGACTTTATTTCCTGGTAATAAGAGGCCCCCAAGTTGATCTGTAGGCACTAAAGCAATTACCCCGCTTTAAATAGCAGATGAGCAAGACCACCCTCGCCCCACCCCCAGCCCCAGCATTAGAAACTCGCCTCTCCGTTGTACAGGCTTTGGGACTTTAGGCTACCTGCAGAATGGGAATAATACGGCTCACCCAATTTGTAGATTTGTGAAGACAGTCATGTAAACAGGGAATTGTAAAAGCGCCCAACATGTCACAGTCTGTTTTCTTCTTTGCTTCTCCCGCTAAGGGGGTGCGAGAGTTAATGAAACTCTTGCTGGGAAGCGGATCACTAATTACTGCCAGAACCTGACCCACTGAAACCCGAAACTCGGAATGGATAACAAACGCCAGCAGCCCTTGGGTCACTGACGACCCTCTGTGAAAAATCGATCCGTGATCGCAGCCCCTTCCCTTCTCCCCACCCCAACTCCCACCAGGGGCGCGGCCGCCTCCAGCGCTTGCAGCTGAGGCTCGGGGCGGAGGGGAACAAGACCCGCGGGCGCGGGCGCGGGCGCGGCCGGCGGCAGGCTTCGCTGTCCGAGCAAACCTCGGGCCTCCCGGGTCCCAAGAAGCTAGGCGCTGTTGGCGTCTTTGAAGGCGGCCCGCCGGGGGGCGCGGCGGGCTGTGGGCGTGGCGAACGCGCACCGCCCTTTTTCCTGCTGTGGCGCCCCTGCCGCGGCCCGGCTGGGAGTGCGCGCGGGCCCGAGAGCGCGCAGGGAGAGCGGGAGCGCGCCAGGCAGCCGGGCCCGCGCCGCGCCGCCTCGTCCTCGCCCCGCGGCCGCCAGCCGCCCCGGCCCCTCCCCTCCCCCGCGAGCTGCGCACCGCGGGCCGGCTGACCCAGCGGCCCGCGCCCGCGCCCTTGTCCGGCCGACCCCGCGGCGGGCTCCCGGCGGCTGGCAGCATGAGCGGCGGCGGCGACGTGGTGTGCACCGGCTGGCTGAGGAAATCGCCCCCCGAGAAGAAGTTGAGGCGCTATGTGAGTGCGAGCGGGTGCGGCCGCGGAGGGCGCGGGTGGGGGGCGCCCAGCGGCCTGCCCAGGGGCTGGGGGCTCCGGGAGGGGCGGCGCCCGACCCGGAGGGCGGACCCTGGGGTCCCGGGGGGCGATGAGCGGCCGGCGCGCCCAGCCGCTCGGGGCTGTGTGGGGCACCTGCACACCTGTCACAGGTGCGCCGCGGAGGGGCGGAGCGGGCGGGCAGGTTGTGGCTGCGGCTCCTTCTCCACGGGGCGGGCGTGGCGGCGTCGCCCCCCCAGCCGGCCTCCGGGTAAACTAAAGACAGTATTGAAGTTTGTATTGATTGTTTTTGGAGACCGAGAGAGTTGATTCCCGGGGCTGGGGGACCATAGTAACCCCGGGCGGCTTCAGCCGCCGGGACTGGGGGACTGGGCAGGAAAGGGGGGCGCAGTCTGCGGGGCGGCGCAGCCGGGTCCCCACAAAGGGCGAGGCGCCTCACACCCTTTCCCCCTTCCCTTTCTCTGCCCGCCCCTCCCGGGTGACCGCCTGCTTCCTTCCAGTCCACAGTCTCTGCATCACGGGCAGCGTCAGCGGCATGTGCAGCCCTTGTATTAAGTGACTCATTTGTTTGTCCCCCTTTTTCCCTTTATTCTGTATGTCTCTCATATACATCCCCCCCTCCCCACCCCACGATGGTGACACTGCAGTTTGGTCTGGTGTAAGTGGCCGGGTTTTGTGCGGTCCTTGGTGCCTGGGGTCGAGAGAAATCCAGGTTTCTCAGTTGCCAGGTGGTGCTAATCGATGGTGTTTACCGAAATTGCTGGGACAGCCTCTCCCTTCTGGGTGAGGAACTGGCAACATCGAGGGGAAGGTGGTATACAGTCTGGTGGGGAGGTCTGGCTAACACCTCCCCGCGCCCCATGCCTTGCCTGATGGGGTCAAAGTACAAGATGGTGCTAATTACAATCAGCCCAGGGCTCTTTGCGGGCGTTTGGAAATGGAAGGTCGGTAAAAGGTGTCAAGGTCTCTCATCTGTTCCCTCTTCACTTCCCTGTGAAATGCCCTTGTTAAACTGACTCTTGGTGCTGCTGGACTCTCTGGGATCATTCCCACAGCATGAAAGTGAGCTGTTGCCTTCCAGCTGCAGTGCATCAAGGGAGCTCTGAATAGACCCTGCCCTCTGTCAGCTGCACCAGTGGCTGTCCATGGGGGGAGAGGCAGAAGCTTACCAGAGTTTCCTGTCTTGGCTCCCCAGATCAGAACTGAGGGACTTCTGGCCTCTGGATTGAGGAAGTGACATTCTGTTTTTCAAAGGAAGTGTTGTTGGGGAGTGCAAGTGTGTGTGTGTGTGTGTGTGTGTGTGTGTAAATGAAAGCAGGCTCTTAATTAAATCACTTGCTGAGAAGACTCCGTATTTAACAATGACTTTTTGACACATTTTTAAACATAGATTTAAAATACAGTAGGGATGAGGCAATGAATTGTTCATCTCAGTTCTAAAGCTCATTTCTCAGGGATGTCCAGGTAGCCAAAGCAGTACAATTACTAAGAAAGAAACTTTTCTCCTTTTCAGAGTTGTATCAACTCCTTAGGAAAGGTGAATTTTCTTTTTTTAAAGATTTTATTTATTTATCTGACAGAGAGAGAGAGATCACAAGTAGGCAGACAGGCAGGCAGAGAGAGGAGGATGCAGGCTCCCCGCTGAGCAGAGAGCCCGATGCTGGCCTCCATCCCAGGACCCTGGGATCATGACCTGAGCGGAAGGCAGAGGCTTTAACCCACTGAGCCACCCAGGCGCCTGGAAAGGTGAATTTTTATGTTAGGTTAAGGATGTGTAATTTGCTATTTATATCTTTATAAATGTACGAACAAAACAAAAGAAAAAATCTTTGACCCTGAAGAGTTTCTGAAATATTAGTAAAAGTGTGATAACATTACCAGCTAGTGGAATAGAGTATCCAGTGAAAATTTTCAAGTTAGAACGTTACCATAAAGAACCTTGAAACTTTGTTTTTGATACAGTTTGCAAACAATTTGACACTGTATCTGTATTTGACGGATGACTACTTCAAGTCTATCACCCAGACTCTTTATGGCCAATTCTCTGGTATTTTTGTTCTCAAGCAACTGTAGCTAAAAAAAAAAAAAAAAAAGGAAAAAAAAAAAAGCTTGGAGTATTCGGAATCAAGCACCTTTTTCAGCCATCTGATGTACTAAACACCCTACCGTCGTATGATGACCTCGGCCTCTTTCCGGACATCTTTGCAACTCCAGCCCATAGACCTCTGATCAAGCTAGTAACGGCTTTTCTTAGGTTTGGGGGTGATGTGTTCCACTGGTATGACTGGAAGTCTCCCCTACTGTAGGAGTTCAGTTCCCTTAGTTAAAACTGAGCTGATCTGTTTGCCCAAACTCGTGTCTGACCCCAAACTTGTCTTTACATCTTCTTTTTGTGCGTTGAGAATTTTTGCACCTTGTTTTAAGTTAGAACTTTGCCAGTTCCCTCTGTTCATTAGTAGCAATCTAGGAGACAAGTAATTCCCAGCTCAGCTGCTAAACACACACCCCAAAATAGCTTCTTCTTCTGTTATATATCATAGGCGTGTGCCATTATGGATTCATAAGTCCTCGTTGTAAGACTATACCAAGCATCTGAGATAAAGAGAAAAGTTAAGGAAATAGATTGCAACTTACAATTAATTTTAAAAACTTCTTTCTACATTGAGGAGGGGGTAGGTTTAGGGGGAAAAACAACTTAATAGAAGCTATGGCAAATGTTACCAGGGATTAGGTTTAGGAATTTTTTTTTTTTAAAGATTTTATTTATTTATTTGACACAGAGAGAGAGATCACAAGTAAGCAGAGAGGCAGGCAGAGAGAGAGAGGAGGGAGCAGGCTTCCCACTGAGCAGAGAGCCCGATGCGGGGCTCGATCCCAGGACTCTGGGATCATGACCTGAGCCGAAGGCAGAGGCTTTAACCCACCAAGCCACACAGGTGCCCCAGGTTTAGGAATTTTTTTAAATCACTCTTTTCTAATTTATTAATCATAGAAATATGTAGAGATCTTTTCAATATTGCTGTGAACATTGGGGGAATTACAAAAAGGGGCCTTTGGAAAATGATGAGTATTGCCTCTGGGTCATCATGATACCTTTGCAGTGGAAGGCTAGCAGAACAAACAGCCCTCCCATCGTGCTGTAATATGCCTGTATATGAGTGTGTGTGTGCATGTACACACACACATACATAAATACACACGTATATAAGGCTGAAGCCAGATTTTTTCAAGGAAAAACATTTTATGACCCACACTGCTCTAATTTTCTATTAATTTCACTGGGTTAGTAGATTTAAGGGAAATGATTGGTAGTAACACTACCCTCTAGTGGCTAATTTGGAGAAAATTGTGTATTGGTTCTAATGAACAACTGAGGCAAGGAAATGGTTTATTTTTGTTTTATTAAGTAAACTTAATTATTAAGTATCTGTGTCTCAGACACTGGATTAGATTCTGGGAATGAACATTGAGCCATCGCATTAATCTTAGCAGATGACCTTGCTTTTTCCACAAAGAACATTGGAGCTATCAGAGGGTAGCTATGTGCACATACTATGACCATATTTCCAAATTTACCTATATCTGCATGGTTCCTTTACCTTTCCCTCTTTAGAGTAGGTGAGGTGCCCCTTCTTTGGGGGGACACAGTTGAGATGATAGAGATAATGACCTGAGCTCATGCCCAGGTGCCCTGATGAGGTGCCCCTTCTCCCTGAGCAGTTCTGCTACCTATGCTTTGGATCATATCTCGTCCTGTCTATTCAGATCATTATTACCCTTTCTATCATGAATCTTCTGTGTCTTTCCCTTTAGCTCTCTCTTTCCATTAACATGTAAACATACTTCTTTGACAAAATTCTCCCTCAGTATCCCATCTCCTCCTTCTCACTATGCTTTCTCCTTTTCTTTTTTTTTTTTTTTGTTTTGTTTTGTTTTCTCCTTTTCTTATTCATGGTTGTTGATACTATTACCATTTCTCCTGCCTTCTTGTCACTTGACTCCAGTCTGAAACCTACTTTAATTTCACTAAAGCTATTCTCCGAAAGGCACCAGTGACACCCAGGTCATTAAAGTCACAGGTCTGTTTTCTCACTAATTTTAATTTCTTCACTGCTTAGTTAATATAATAAATGCCTGACTTTCCTCCTTTTTTTGGCCATTCTAAGTCTCTTTTCCTAAAATGACCCTCTTTACTCAATCTTTAAAGTTGGAAGCTCATTTATAGTCACAGGGACTATGATGTAGGCTCTTTTCTTCTCCTCAGACATCTCGTCCATTCTCCTGGCTTCAGTTATCTTTGCATGCTGGTCATTATCAAGTTAAATTTCTATCCCTGAGTTGTGTTCTGAGCTAGAGACTTGGATATACAGTTTTTAACCGAACATATCCACTTGAATGTCTCCCAGTCATCACACACTCACCACACCCACAACTCTCATGTATTCCTCTGCTCAGTAAATGGTGCCACTGACTACCCACTTGCTCAAGTGTGCAACTTGGGAATCAGCCTTGCCTCCTTGCCATGCACTACCCCACATCTCATCTTTTACCAAACCCGCTAGTGCTATCTTAATATCTTTTTGTCCACGCTTCTCCATCCCCACTGCCATGACCCTTAAGATTGTCCTTTTAATAGTCATCTGTTGAGGACTTACTCTGTGCCGGGCACTGGGCTTAGACCATTGATCTCTTATTAGCCCTAGGCGAAAAGCTGTGACTTGTCTAGTGTCACCTGACTTTGTCCCAAAGCCTAAGCTTTTTTTTTTTTTAATTATTATTATTAAACTTCTACTCTGAGGTAATCATAGATGCACATCTATTTGTAAAAATCGTGAAGAGAGATATGTACACTCTTGATCCAGTTTCTCCTAATGGTAACTCTCTGCAGAACTGGAGTGCAGCATCGCCATCAGGATGTCAATAATGGTGGAGTCAAGATACAGGACATTTCCATCACCACGTGA